CGTAATGGATATTCTGTAGAAGATAAAAGAGCTCTAGAAATAGTTAATAGTTCCTTTAGACTGGAGGGTGGCCATTTCCAAGTTGGTCTACCCTGGAAGTATGATAAGCCAAGGCTACCGAATAATTTGGAACTAGCTGAACGTAGACTAGAGTGTTTAAGGAAGAGGTTTATGAAGGATAATAGTCTTCTGGAGAAATATCAACTTGTAATGAATAAACATTTGAGTAAGGGCTACATCATTGAAGCTAGTAAGGAGGAATTCGACCGTGATGCTGTTTGTTGGTATATTCCTCATCATCCTGTTATCAACCCTAAAAAGCCTGGAAAATTAAGAATTGTTTTAGATTGCGCAGCTGTCTATCAAGGTTGTTCTCTTAATGATCAGCTTTTGAGAGGACAAAATACTGTAAATATTTTAATTGGTATACTTCTACGATTCAGATTATGCAACGTAGCATTAGCCGCTGACATCGAAGAGATGTTTCTTCAAGTAAAGATCCCGAGACGAGATAGGGGAGCGTTTCGACTATTATGGTGGGATGACGGTGATATAGGACGAAAGGCTAAGGAATACTGTTTGACAGTTCATCCGTTTGGAGCCGTGTCCTATCCCTTTTGCGCTGATTTCGCTCTTAGGAAGGCGGTAGATATATTCGGAAAAGAATTGAATAAAGATGTCCAGGAAGTTGTAGATAAGAGTTTTTATGTCGACAACTATTTAACTTCAACTGATAATGTGCAGGATGCAATCGAGCTTGCAAAAACCCTTGGTTTACTCCTCAGAAAAGGTGGGTTCAGACTTACCAAGAAGATAAGTGACTGTTTACAGGTTCTCGAATCAATTCATCCAGAAGAGAGAGCAGAAGTCGTAAAAGAGATTGACTTTGAGAGACTTCCTACGGAACGCACATTGCGAATATTTTGGAATACTATGGTTGATGTGAATAATAAACGTGATGCTAACGAGAGTAGAATCACTATAGGTGGTGCTGTTTCTTCGGTTGCTGTTACTAATGTAGCTTCGAGTACTTCGGATCAAGACGAATTTGGATGTTTGAGCGTGGAGAATATAGGTGTCGTTGGCAATAGCGTCAGCCACAGTGATAGCACTGTTGAGAGGGCTAACATTCAGTGGCCTAGGTGCAATGAGGAGTCATCTAGGCTTAATGGACATGCTGTTGTGTTGAATATGCAGCATGAGGAATCGAGCACGGAATTGTCCGCCCGTCGCACTCTACCATCATTGACTCGTACTACAAGTATCGGGATGAGCACTACCAACAGTGATAAGACAGATGAGGTGAAGAGCATTCCTAGTAAGGAAAGTAATGTTGATCGAGTAGAGTTGGACACTGTGCATGAGTGGGATGGATGTCATGGGAATATGATTGCTACTTCTACAGCTGCGGCTACCAATGATAATAGTATTGATAATATTTCTGTGGGTAATAGTGATCAGAGGACATCGAAAGACACTCATCGACTTAGAAATGATCGTACATTACGCTCACATACTGCTACCCAAGCTAAGAAGCATACGAAACGACATGATACTACTATTAACAAGAAGCTTAAACTTCGTTCTTTTTCGGATGCTATGACTAGCGATGGAAATAGTAGTCATCAGAATCGTAGTAGTGACAGCGCTAGTAAAGAGACCGAAAGTGTGAGCAGTCCATCTATGGTGACTAGTCGATCTACTTCATCGAATGAACCTTCTAGTGTTTTGACGTCATTGAACCCTGCCTCAAATATAAAGTTGATTGAAGATGCACAAGGTTGTGCAACTGTGACTGTTTCTACTCCGGTTGACTGTCAGTCAAGTGATGATGAGAAAAATGCGTGTGATGGTAACAGCCAGTCTACAGTATTGCATGATAACGATTCTATCGATGTGCACATGAAGAACAACAAGTGAGTTTGTCGGTTTTGAATTGCGACACTAATGCTGTTCTTTCATGTAACGAGATGAGTTATACAACAATGAAAGAGTTTCACTCTACGAATGCTAGTGTAGCCAGAAACGACGCGACCTGTCTGACACAACGAAATCATGATGACGGTGATAATAATCTGGATGTCACTGATGTGACAAATGAGTTGGCGACGATGATGAATACTGATCAAACCTCCTCTGTATCAGGAGATAAAGAGTTAAATATTATTCCTACACTATGCCATTTGGACTCTTCGGGAGACGAGGAAATATCAAAATTGGAGATCTCACCCTTGCATATTATCAATGGGTCAGGAACTTCTGTTGATAAGTCAGCATCACGGACTTCATCGTATTTGCCGTTCGGAGCAAGTGGTGGTGGATTGAAGACTCATCTCCATGATGTGGAATGTAAATCCCGAATAGGATATGACCAGCTTTACGTGTTATACATGTTCATGTGGGTTAATCGGATGAAGTTTATACTACCGTTAGGTCATGCTACGATAGATAGGGGAATCAAGGACCTGATGGGAAGGTACAAGTACATAGTTAGCTTGATAGGTCATATCCATGTTGGAGGGCGGGTAGGAGTACTGTTATAAGTTCTACTCGTTCTTCCGGTGTGGATAAGGGGATGAGAGTGAACCCTAAATTGAAGTGTCAGAAAGCGCTTGTTTTTTGCATGGAGGGATTTTGCGGGCCGGTGTAGAATGTATATTGAATGTTTGCTGTTCATTGCTTGTGATGCACATACTTGGATTGCTGTTACTTTTTTTTGTCGGTGAAAAGAACCAAGGTTCTTAAGGTCGGGAGAGTTACGGGAGAAATGAAATATCATTAATTTCACTGTGTTTTTCGGGTATATTTGTTTTACTTAACTTATGAAGTTGTTTGATTTATTATTTTCGGACATTTTGGTTTCTGTTTGTCTTCGTTTGCTAATTGGGAGCTTTTGCTCCAGGAAACTATAAAATTGAAGGTATTTGTAGTTATTATAATTATTGTTGTTAGAACGACATTTTGGTTGACTATTCGTGAATTGCGAATAAACTTTGGTACCTAACTTTGGAGTTTGGTTCTGTTGTTAATTTGGGTTCGTGAATTGTAAGTAGATCGACATACTGTACTTCAATAACGGGAAGGAGCAAAACTTGGACGTAACAGTGTGTATCAAGGTCGGTCGAGAAGAAGTTGAAGCAACAAGCTTGATACCTGCACTTGAAAGCCTGAAGTCCAAGAAGAAAAGTACATCATGTGAAATACATTGGAAACTATATTTAATCAACACCATATGGAATTCTTGTGATGGATTAAACTGCGAAATCGTGCATGGAGGATAGCTGACAGAATCGTCCGAAGGGAAGACCGGTGTCAGGCAACGTTGCTTACTCTCACCCTTTCTTTTTCCCCTGGTGATCGACTGGATAATGAAGTCGTCAACATCTGGAGGGAAGCACGGTATGCAATGGACAGCCAGGATGCAGCTGAACGATTTCGACTTCGCAGATGATGTGGCCCTTGTATCGCACACGCAACGACCTATGACATAGAAGAAAGACAGTATAGCGCCAGCCTCAGCAGCAGCAGGTCTCAACATAAACGAGGGGAAAAGCAAGATTCTTCGGTACAACACTACATTCACCAATAAATCAAACTCTATGCAGATGCCTACGAGGACGTAAAAGACTTTATATACCTGGGCAGCACCGTCAACAATCAAGGTGGATCAGATGCAGATGTGAGGGCGCGGATCGGCAAAGCAGGGGCTGCATTTCTACAATTGAACAAAATCTGGAACTCCAAACATCTAGCAACTAACATCAAAGTCAGAATTTTCAATACAAATGTCAAGACAGTTCTACTGTATGGGACGGAAAGTTTGAGAACTACGAAAGCCATCATCCACAAGATACAAGTATTCATTAACAGTTGTGTACGCAAAATACTTCGGATTCGTTGGCAAGAAACAATCAGCAACAACCTACTGTGGGAAAGAACAAACCAGATTCGAGCGGAGGAGGAGTGGAGGATGATGTTAGGCAGAAGTACTGGAAGTGTGTATGAAACACATTGAGGCACACATGAAACTGAGTCACAAGACAAGCGATGACTTGCCTACCTCAAGGTCAAAGGAAAAATGTAAGTTCCTAGGAACACATTACGCCGAGAATTGCAGACATACATGAGAGGAATGATCGAAAATTGGTCGGAACTGGGAAGAGAGTCTCAGGACTGAGTAGGTTGGGGAATGCTTGTCAGTGGCCTATACTCTATCTAGTGGACAAGCTTACGAAACTAAATAAAAGTAAGCAATAGTGAAATTCAAATACGGGAGTGACTTTCACAAACTAAGCTGTCAAAAGGCAATGAAACGAGCCGAAGAGCCGAAGATTGCACATCAAAGAGCAAACACTCAGGTTCGTGCACACTTTTTCTCATTGCGAGTCGTCGCAACTTGGAATGCTCTCCCAGCCGAGGTAGTTACAGCCCCCTCAGTGGACTGCTTTAAGAAGAGACTTGATAATCACGTACTCACATGCGGACTATCATCTCCCTCTTGGACAAGCTGTGCCTGATGCATATCTTGAGACCTGCTAGTTGTTACCATTGCCATCTCCTCAGATCACTTAATTAATTTAACTCGCCTATTCCTCTCCCTTGCTTACACTTCGGTCCTCTCTCACAATCTTCACTACCAATTATTAAACTAGATTCATCTATATATAACTCAGTTCTGAAATTTTACTCATATTATCATTTTAATTTACCCTTATTACTCTTATTACTCTCCACATTGCAACTAACTGATCTCCGGTTTGGTAATGTGACGGCTGCTAGTATCCAGAAACCCTACTGCCCTGAAACAAACGTTTCATTCAAATCCCGAGACATACAAACTCACAACCAACTGCCAACTGACTAGAATTAGACAGTCGAGTGGCTAGACCTCCATCCATTGGACATTACCGAACACCTGGAACCGTACCGAAAGAACAAGAATCGAGCGCGAAGAAATCAAATAGGTTAACAGTAGCTCATGAAAAAGATATTGGTTATTGGACATCAGAAATACTAATACAATCTCACCATGCTATCGGCCTTGAGCATGCAGGTCACCTATTTTTTGAGCGGGAATGGAGTTTCAAGGGTGTTTTTTCGTAAAGTAAAAATCAGAAATATCCTGACTTTGACTCAATAAAACTTGTCTGTTTTGCAATTTTGTTTGTGAACCTTCTCAAAAAATTTGTTTTATAACTCAAATTTTTATACAACTTTTCTGGTAACAAATTGTGTATAAAATTACTTAAAGTATTTCAATGGGTTGTCAAGTGTTAAGTGAAGCCTGGCAGTATCCTGCTTTTTACCCTTTTGTCCTGGCTTCAACTACAGATCTTGCAAGTTTGTAAACGGCAGAATAACGAAGCATTGCATCATAGCTGATGTCAGTTCGTGACAAAAATTTTGATCTCAAAAACCACTCTCAGTATCAGTTAAACTGTTTATGCATAACCCTTACATGTGCATTATGGCCTGTTGCATTTGGTTACAAGAACTCTGGAGAATGGTGAACCTAATTATTGTCACAAGCCGATATTTTAATGTGAAAACTTGACCTTTTACACTCACTGCAAATCTTAATTCGACTCATGAAAGTTGATTATTCAGATTGCCGTCTACACTTGCAATGTCACGGTATATTTGTCCAGCGCCAAATATACGAAATTGGTGTATTACACATAATGTTGTGCGTTAAATTAAAAGCAAAATACATGTACTTCCCATGAATAGTATGTTACATCATATTGTTTACACTTGGGAGTTAGGTAATAATCGTCTAACTTATCAACTGGTCACGAAATTTTAGTCCCTGTAACATAGCTTTCAAAGTGCTATGCTCTTCTTGTGTATTCAGTGGAAATTCGAACAGAAAAAGATTATGCTGTCCTTCGCAACGATGAAAAATCTTCCGAAGTGTGCTTTCATTTTACTAATCTGATTAGATATCACTGATCACTTCCAAATCTTATGGACGAGCGGGATTACAATTGTGCGGCCTATGGGCTTGAAATTAAGTAGGAATAAAACTTGATAACAAAGCTAAAAGTAGATGAAAGCGGTTGCATGAACATCTTGTTTTGGAAGGACTGATTTATAAGCATGTACTTGATATATTATTACCTGGCTACTAGTCAACAAAAATAGTGCAATGCAATCCAACCTTCATTTCAGCCACATTTTCTGATGAAAGTGAACCAAGTTTCCATTATAATTAAACGACTTAATACTAGTGTCATTCAATTTTCAGACCTCATCTCTATGAAAATTTGTGCGGAAAAATTGTTTTTAACATCAGGAGCGTACCGTCATCATGATGGAAAATGGAAATCAACGGCAGAGTTTAACCCAAGTGGTCACTTAGTTTTTTCAGATTGGCATTGTTCATTATTTTCACGTGGTAACTTGAACTGCATATTCTAATTATGATACAGATTTTCCAGCGTCTTATTCTTTGTTTGGTTTATTAAAAGAAAAAGACTTAAACCTTACATCAGTACTATCCATAGGATCAAATGATTCGTGGATCTTTATTGCAACACCTGGATCTATCACTGCCGTTGAAAAAAATCATGGAAATAGCGTCTCTGTCGATATCTCTGTTGTTCAAGTTGCTTCGGACGGTCATAATGTATATTGTTTAAAAGGTAGTTTGGATTTTATTTCTACATTATTTTTCATTGTAGATGAAACTGTTAACCTGCTAAAGGTTGTTAATTTGGAGAACATCATTGCGGTTGATCGCCCACTTAGTTTTACGATTAAAGTAAAATCGATATCATGTGGTCTAGGGTTTTTGTTATGCTTAACATGTTCAGGACAAGTATTTAGTCAGGGGATCGGAAGGTAGGTAGGTTATTCCTCGTAATTCAGCGTTCTTATTACAAGTCGAGGTCAGTTAGGTTTAGGTGATTTAACTGACAGAACGGAACTAACTATAATTAAAGCTTTGCAAATATTGACCGTTACTCAAATTTCAGCAGGAAATTGGCATTCAGTTTGTTTAACTGGTAAAATTAAATACCTAATTAACCTGTCGTTTTAAATCCAGATACGGGAGATGTTTATACATGGGGTTGGAACGAACATGGCCAACTGGGTCATAAGTCACTCGGAGTGAGCAATAAATCAGAATCCATCACCGAGATAGAACGAAGAAGTTGTGTGTCTGTTTTAGCTCTTCCAGCTCCTATAGATTTCCCAGATGATCTACCCATTTCACAGGTAATTTATTTTTGTAACGATTTTTTTGTCGAATGCTGTGACATCAAATGCTATTTATGTGTTTTCTTCGTCTTCTTTTCTTTTAAAAGTTTAGGGTATATTGTGTTTACACATAATTGTTATAGCAATCTTCATAGCCTGTGTCAAAGTAATTTTTACCAAAACCCAATTTATTCATTCCGTCAGCTGCTCTCTGAAACCATTTGTAAAAGTGATTAGTTTACATTTCGATCCAAATGGAATTTCACATAGATTTTTAATTCAAGTTATATACGTTCGCCCAGTAATCAGTTTCAAGAAAGCAATACATTTCTTTTTAAGAGAATTTACGATTTCTTTACGTATACTATTCATGGCTGGACCTATGCCTCCCAGTACGTTCCGATCTGGACTACGCATCATGATGATACAGTCGAGCTATATTGGCTGAAGCATTCATTCTTCTAGGTCCTACAATTTCAGGTAGATCGGTCGTAGAGTAATAGGATTGTGAACACCATACTTAAGGTGCATTTTTAAAGCATTATTACAGACTTCACTGAGGTGCGATAGTAGAAAGTTGTTTCTTTCATAAAGCTAGCGACTCTGGCGATGCTAGTTTCGTGCTAAAGGATGACGTGGTTAGACAAATCTGGTATTATTTATTGTATACCTCAACTTTTGGCACTGATTTCTATCACAGGTGATAAGGCCTTGCAAGTAAGAATGCTAAAAATTGTGTAACTAAGGAAAAGCTGTACGTGACTGGCTCCAAACAGTTGTCCCTTGGATACTGTGATCGTCGTCGTCAAGATTGCTCTTAGCTCGATTTTCTTTTCAGGTCTCAAGAAAAATCAACTTCCCATCGTGTGCGCAATCGGAAAGTGATAACTACCATCATGCACCTATCAGTACTGAAAATCACTTAACAGTGTTTCATTTATCTCCAGCATCAGCACTCATCTCCTTTCCTTGAATTTTCCCAAAAGTATCATCAATGCAAGCAAACAAATTTTGTCATGGATGTAATACCAGGTTTTATAGCCTTAATAATTTCAGTCTTTCACGATCCCAAGCCAAATATATCAGTTACGATTGTCAGTTCGGATGCATTACTCTGATCAGGCGCCATTTTGTCCACTGTCTAGAGTATGTACTCACGGAAGGATAACTAGATATTTTGTGGTCTCGTAGCCTTACATACTTTCTCCTCACTAGTCAATCAATCAATCAAGAGCAACGTAGAACTAAGCGTGGGTGATGGGTGAGGATGAGCGAGGAGAGTGGTTTGAGCTAAAGCTTTTTTGATTTTTGGAAATGCACTACACGCGGCATCGTTCAACTCTAATTTGCGTGGATTACCGTGAAATAAGTCGGTTAATGGTCGTAACTGTTGTGCCGCGTGAGGAATGAAACGTCGGTAGAAGTAAGCCAAACAGAGAAAAACCTTCAGTTCAGTTGCCATACCACATTAGCACAGACATGTAATTGTCAATTCAAATCCCATAGTAGTAGAGGTAGTAGAAGTGTTAGCAGTAATCGGAGAGATTAGGGTTCGAAGATATGATTCCAGAAGTATAATTCAGTGAGATAAATTTAGAAAGAGAAAGATTGAGGTGGTGAGTAATTCAGAAGGTTAAAATTTCATAGAGCACAAAGAGTAAATGTACCTGCGTCATTGCAAACGATTCTGAGCCATGTCGTTCAAGGTCTCTAACGATTGATGACTTTTGTCTCGCGGACACCAACCAGGTAGCCTACATCTACCAACATGACTCGGTCCACTTGTTAGTGATTTCATGGATTTCTGCCACGTTTTGGTCTGGCCGCCCCTAACTTCCGTCCAACCTATTCCTACACTGCAAAATATAGCTCGTCGAGGCAGTCGGTGGTTGGGCATTCGTAGCACATGTACTAACCAGCTCAACTGACGAAGTTTCAATACTTCATCTCTTGATTTGCCATCCCTACCTTTTACTCGTATCCTAAAGACAGCATTGCTTACTCGGCTGTCCCACGATACTCGAGCAATGCTTCGGAGACACCGACGATCGGAGACAAGCAATCTACAAATGTCCTCTACTCTTAACGGCCAAGTCTCGCATCCATATAGTAGGACGGAGAGAACTGCTGCACAGTACACACGTCCTTTGGTTAGCAAGCGGATATCTCGCCTGCGCCATAGGTGAAGCAGGTTGGCAAGAGCCAGTCTGTATCCGTGCTCAGATTTCGTCAGTCACCAGGCCATCAGCACTGATGAGACTCCCCCAGATAAGTGAAGCGGTCTACATACCCAACTGCTTCACTCCTTATAACTAGTTCAGGTGTTGATGCGACCCAATCTTGAAGCAACATTTTGCATTTCGAGAGGGAAAACCGCACCTCGAACATGCTTGCATTGTTGCTGAGGTTAGTCAGAAGACTCTGCATTGTGTAAGCGTCTTCACCGAATAGGACTATGTCATCAGCATATGCTAAGTCAGCAACCGTGTCTCCTAGTAACATGTCCACTCCTGAAGAGTCAGACGATGATAATGACAACTCTAGAAGCACATCTACGAAAAAGTTAAAGAAGAATGGAGAGGGTGGACATCCTTGACGGACACCACTTGACGTAGAGAATTCCGATGACAGTTCGCTATAAGCTCTTACTCGACCAGTAGTGTTCGAGTAGAGAGCCTGTATAAGGTTAATGTACTTCTTTGGTACACCTTTTAATGACAGACACTGCCACAGAACCTCACGATCAACAGAGTCGAATGCCGCCTTATGGTCAAGAAATACTACTACTGTCCCGTCAGGTCAGACAGCGCATATGCGACTATCTACTGGGATTCAGTCTAGGTGGGCTAGTTCTACCCTAGGACTCAATGCTGTACCTACACCAGCGAGACCCCGGGAAGCAGCATCAGGGCTATCGGATACATGAAGAGTAAATTGATTTGGTTCTTTATTTTGACAAGGTAAATTCATATTAATGATTTTGCTAGTATCCTGTATGCGCGTTTCCGAGACGCAACATCGATCGCCCGGGATTCCAGAGTTGTAGCTAATAAAGCCTGTTTCCCTATTTGACACAATGTCCGTACATTATATGCTCCTGTATGTGATTTAGTACGGGGTATCAAGAGATCAGGAAAAATGTTTCGTGAGGTCAAACCGTTTGCTTCAGTGATGCGAGGTGATAAACGATCGAAAGAACGGTTGGTCGAGGAGATAAGAGATATATTAGGAGGTGTAAAAAGGATTTGTAGGTGACCACTTTCGTCCCGTGTGCTTTTATGGGTATGAGGGCGGATGGAACCTACCGGCTGCTCACACCATGAAAGGCTTCTGGTTGTCAGAAGGGACATGGGCCTCATGACTTCCGAAGGAACTCGGCTTTCATCATGAGACGTCACAGCTCTTCTAGACGAAGACCTTCTAACTCCCAGAGCAGAGATTATATGGTTTGAATTACTTTTTCTTGTTAGCGTTTTTATAGCGAGTTAGTTTTTGCTCCATTCACAACCCTCCTCCTTTATCCGGGCTTGGGACTAGCAGTAGCCCCGAAGGGTCTACAGGTGGAATTTGATTGTTACTAGACTGAAGATGGGTTCTATTTGTAGTCCGCTACAATGTAGTTTTCTTTCAATGCGTGAATCAGTTCCCATATTTAGAATACCTAAAACGAAATACGATTATGAAATATCATTGTGATTCATTTAACGGTAACATTCCCCTCGTAGTACATTGTTGTCATTGTTGAGGGTATAATTTCCAGAATTTATGTACATGTCATCAACTTCCTAATTTGATACATTCATGTGTTGCATGTAATATATAGTGTTTTATAACTGGATTTAAATATGTTTTCAGTGATTCTCACGTCTTTATTTTTAATGCTGCGTTAGATCGCTTGTGGTGGTTGTCACACAGTCTGTCTTACCGAAGATGGCATTCTTTTTTGTTTCGGTTGCAACAAATTTGGTCAGTTAGGATTTGGTCCATCTGTGGAAGCTGTGGATTCTCCAGTGAAACACCCATTCTCAACAGCTCAACATTTAGATTCCAATATGACTATATCGTCTGTTTATTGTGGCCTATGGTGTACAACTCTCTGTTTGAGTTCGAAAACGTAAAGCTTATACGAAATACCCATAAGATTCCGTATGGAAATGGTTTGCATGAACAGATATTCTGTATTTGATTAGCCTTGAAAGCAACGCGTTCGAAATTTACACTAGAGATCAGTTGTACCATTCATTGATGAAATTTGAGTATTTTGTAAACAATATATCTTTCTAAACACTTGTGATTATTCTAACATTTGGAGCAATATGTGTATATGAGTGAAAAGATGAGAATTAAAAATATGATAATCCATCGAAGAATATGTGGTTAAATCTTGTCTAGCACTGGAAGCTGCTAAACATAAAGTCGACATCAGAATAAATTGTGCGAACGTGTATGCAAGCAGTTCCCAGTCTTGTGGAATACTTGGTTCGGTCAGTAAGCGTAGCAATAATACAAGTATGATATTTTACCATTGCGCTAGTAGTATGTGAGATCGTTCGACGCCTATCAAATACATCTTCAATTGTTCGGTACATGCGGCGAAACTACATAGTTCTTTTATATCACTTTTGCCCCTAATTGTAAAATCAGTTAACTGTAATATGTTTATGGAACAAATAATGAATGGAGAATAAAAATTAATATTAAACGAGAGTTTTCTGCAATAGTAGGACTCATGGACCAAGCAAGTTGAATATGCACAGAGATATGAAAGCTTAATTAGCGAAATGATGAAGTGTCAATAACATTTATTTTCACCTAAATGACCGCATGAGTATGGAATAACAATGAACCTTGATCGGTGGTAACAAACACATTCCTGTAGCTTCTTTATTGATCCAAAAACACTCATGGTGTTACACGTATTTCATGGGTTTGTAAAAGTCACCCAAGATTACCACTGATACACTATCACTCTTTATTAGATCCTAACTGACTGTCAAGCAGAACCCCAGTAACTGTGCAGTAAAGTTACTTTATAGGAATAGTCTGATGTTTCGTGTTAAATATTTTGACCGATTGACGTGACTATGTACAACAGCCCGAAAACTGTAGTAGTTATTTGTGACTACAATGACATCAGGCTTACATACTTTTAAAACATCCAGAGTCCATTCACTCATCCATCACATGTAACATATGCAAGCCAGTACAACCTTTTTATGATATTCCCTTCAATTTGACAAGATGAATAAACAGAGAGAACATTACAGAACACTGAAAGTCATGAATATATCAGAACGTTTCATTGAAGGAACCAAGCTGCATTTAGTTGAGATGCTTGAAAATAAACACAAAAAAGAGTTGCAATCAGTCAGTGTGGAAAAAAGGTATGAAGTCTTAAAGAACATCTTGTTTGACACAACGTTACGTTAACTACATTCGTTTCTCACAGTATAAACTTGTTCTTTTGTTCTAGGTCAATTTTAAAAGTGGACACTGACTTAATGATCACCTCTTTCGACTGTTTTTGTTCCCATTCCCAATATTATTTTTACAACAGAGACATCAAGTCGATTTCTTCCTAATGTTGTCATTTTTATCTCACACATGGAAGAACGTTAGTTAAAAGTGTGCATTTGGCATTTGACGAAACTTCATTGAAATTTAGACTAACACTTTCATAATAACTAGTCACCTACTCAGATCATCATATTTCACGTGACCCGATGTGCACATAAATCTCAATCAGTGAACATCAATAATTTTTATGTAGCGCCTGAAAGAGTGATCCGAATTCCACCGGTGATTCTACCGTAGCGTCGAACTTTTAGACCGAATTATTATTGTTTGCTGAATATATTCCCAAACATGATAGGGCCACGGAGCACTCCGAACGGCATAATAACCAAGTGCTTAATCGTAGTGTAAATATTTTACAATGGCGATATCCTTTCCCAACGATCTATAACACGTGATCAAATTAATTATACCTGTATATCATTAACGGTTAATTCTAAGATGTTTTATGTCCATGGTGATTGTGCGAATCGCTGATGAAATGGCGTGAAATACCACACAGGTCTAGCTGTACAAGTGTGATTTTAAGCAAATCATATTGAAAGTAGTATATCTAAGTATCCTCTTTATTTATTCTATGTGCCAAATAAATCCTCATCTACTGTCTCCACGTTCTTACTTTCGTCATCCGGTTCATTATTTCCAGTAGCAAGTGCCAAGTCAGTTAAAGTGTTCCACAGACAAAACCTCTTAGTTTAAATCAATGTAGATTACTTTGAAAATGCTATCGTTAATATTGCAGAATAGCATCACGAACAAGTGAAAACTTAACTTAATATAAATCCTATTAGATTCGTATACCTTTCATAACAATCAATAGCCTAATCGGTTGTTAACACTTACTAGTTAATTTCGTCATGATACCTAGGTTTCTCTTTATCAGACCGTAAACGGTAGTCAGAAAATCCTAACGTATAACTATATTATTTTTTTCTAAAGCTAATTTTATTTTCCAAATACCACTGTTAAGTGTTGTTAAATAGAAGGATTTTGTAGATATTTTTTTAATGGACAATCTTAGTTCATGCAAGTATACTGAAGATGCATTCGACTATTGTGTACGCAAAGACAGATAAATAATTCATACCAGTATATAAAAACAACGAACTTTGAGTTTGAAATACTGAAGTAGGTCTAAAAACTGTTAGCAATGTTAGAAGATAGGACAAACTGCAGAACTGCAATTATGTATGCTAGTTAAGAGATACAAAGAGATGAAGAATACATGAGAAGTGGTCGGATGAAAGTTTGTCAAAATTTTAATATTACCGATGGTTTAGAGGTTGAGAAGCTACACAGACTAAAAGCATAGCATGGAAACAAATATCACCAACATGACCATTGCTTTCAAATAGCATTCTCACATAGTTATTCGCAATTTAGATATATGCTTTCAAATTTCTTTATATTTCAATAAACAAAATCTTTGAGTACATGGAGTAGTTAGTATAGACATTGCTTACTTATTTCAGGATTCAAGATCTGATTCAGCAAATGTATGAATTCGAGTCTATCGGCAACTTATGGCAAATTAAGCAACTGATTCCACATATACTAAATACTTTTGTTCGTTTGTCTATCTATATGCCAATCTTCTTCCTCTAACCTATCAATATTCGAGACATGTTGAATAATTGCCACTTTTGGACAGGATTCCGACTAGACCTGTGGAATGCAATTCTGGTTTTATGCCATTATACTGCAATCCTGAAACATTTCAATTCTAATATAATTGTTAAATATTCTAGTTCCAGTTTTCTTATAATTCCAACACTACCCTGGATTGGTTTCATTCTTGTCCAGTCTGGTCTCCATTCCATTCACTTGTTTACCACCTGAATTCTATCTGTTATTACTTGTAGAAGTCAGTTAACTTGATTGATTAAGTACACAATCAGTAACATTGAAGTTTGAGTTTCCGTGCTGTTCATTCCTTATTGGTTTTCGAGATAAATGATGTGAATACAACAATACCTTTCAAATAACGATATCCCAACCGAAATTTGCTATACATGTGAATAGATGAAGCAATATTACGAAACAAATATCATAAATTATTTATTCAACTAAATAGAATCATCTTACAATACATAATATATAACAAAGAATAGAGAAGAATCAGTAGGAATGAAATTGGAAATTAACAGATGACTAAATACACAAGTTACAACCACCCTCATTATGCATCAATGCAAAGCATTGTAAAACACTCAAAGCGCACAATTGTCTAGAAAACATTTTACAATCAAGATGAGAACCGCTTCTCACTTTATTCGACCATACACTAAACACATCATCAAAGCAGTTAAGTCATCGAAACAAACAATATAATGAGTAGTCTAAAATCAATCACAACACTTTATTCACACCCATAAATACTTTTAAATGAAAAAAAACAATTCACCAGAGGACATTACGATGATCACTTCTCAAATAATCGCATCAAACGCCAGTCATTCGATGATCACAATCAAGACGAAATAACTGACAATTATTATCAAATTGAGAATTGAGACGGTATTGAACCTGATCCAGAGTGTTTTCTAAGCATGAACACACTGATCGGTATGCAGTCGACTAGTTGATGCAAAACACTATCAAATGGAACTGCACATTTGCGAGGTTGGTAGTAAACAAAACAGTGAAATCTCGAGTACCAGACTGATGGATCTCAGTGGATAACCCAAATGAAGCTAGGAATTCCCGGCTGACAAATTTTATTTACTCAAATCACTCGATCACTCTATCCCTGGTTCTAACAGTTAATAACCACTATCTATTACAAGTTTCAAAGTTGAATCAAGCGTTCATTTGATAGGCCTCCAGCTCACTACGTTCTATCACGTTTGACCAAGTTCTATGACTATCGATTGATTTAATTCACGAATACCATCAAATGGTAGTTGTGGGAATGAAGTTCACTTCAATCATATAGTCAGTCGTAAATTGAGCTAAAATGACACAGTATTATCTCCTTCAATGATGACGATAGTATTATCCTCAACAAATTATTTTTCAATCTATAATACCGAATAAAGTGAGCTTATTAATACACTCAGCATGAAATGAATAGTATTAGAATGAAGTTCATTCCAGTATTCCTACCTCATTATATTAATTCCTGTTACATGTAACGTAAACACGCCACATAACAGGTTTCAAAACATTGCATAATTAGTCCACGTTTATAGTATGATACTAACAATGGTATATATTTGATCGTTCCACTATGTATTTATTCACAAATATAATATGATACACTGATGTGAATAACTAGGTAAAATGAAATTACTTACTACAACATCGAACTTTATATTGAATAAATTGTGGATCCCAGAGTATAGCTGTATCGACTGGCTCACGTCCCGTGCTCAATAGAATGCAGTTTTTGCGCTTCTGGTTACATCATAGAAAATTGAATTAAAACAAGAGACAACAGTGAAGAAGTTCATGCAATCTTCTGCAATCATACAGAAATCAAAAATGTAAGCAGAAAACACCTTCATTTTGTCAGTTATGTGATAAACGAAATAGTTGAACTATCTGAAACAACAACATATTCTGAGAATATCTGGATTAGATCATATTGGAATATATTCATATAGAGTAAAAAGAAGAATGCCATTATTAACTAATATTAAACACGATGACTATGTTTATTCATACTAATTTTCATGCGGTTCAAACATTATAGCATGCATATAATCATCTGC